AGGCATCACAAAGCGAGTTTGACGCCGCCTGTGAAGAACTTCGTTCCAAGTTGGCATCCATTATTCCTATATACTTCAGCGACATTGATTTCATTCTCAGTTATGCAGCGGCTGGGAGCTACATCCGTTTCTTCACTTTGAATCACTCAGGTACTTTGTTCCCGTTGACCGACCGACTCAATTTGACTATCCGAGTTGATCGGCTTCAAGCAATTCGTGCGGTCACCAACATTATCCGTATCATGATTACCATCAAGGATACCCTACCAACGAATGTGTTGCCCTTGGGGCGCACATTGAAAAAGGGTGATAGCACGATCACTTTCTATGACAATTTTGTTGAGAAACGTATTTCTTCGTTTAATCGTTTATACCCTTTCGCCAATGTAAACACACTTAAACAGATCTATAAACTGGCAAGGCACAAGCGCGGATTAGTGCATGCCAAAGACTTGCCAAGTGTGAAGAAAGGATTGTACAAGGTGACACTGGGAACTCAAGGATTTCACCGCCTGCCACAAACGGAAGATGAGTTTCGGATGATCATTGAGGATATCCTTAACGGACTTGTAACACTGCACGACTCTGGTTTTGTCCATAGAGACATCCGATGGTCGAACATTTTGCGGACCATCGACGGCAAATATGTTCTTATTGACTTTGAGCATTCTGGTCTGGCGAATGAGATACCTCAGTTTGAAAGCTTGATGGGTTGGGATATGAATACTTTAGAGCTTGGAAAGTATACGTGCTTGTCAGATATGTATCAGGTCGGAAAGTTGTTTGTCGGGGAGTCAGTGATATTGTCTGAGATAGGGATGAGCTTTATGGCCAATCTGCAGAATGCAGATCATAGTGCTAGGATGACAGCCAAAACTGCTTTACAGCATGAGTGGATAATACATGCTCAGTAATCTTAATATTTCTCTCAGACATTCGGGTAGTCAGTGTAATCTTAATATTAGAGTATGTGTTTCTCTTTTCACTTTCCATTGAGGAATTTCATTATGACATGTTAATTTGTTGCATAAAGAAAATTATAAAGGATATGTTGGTGATTTCCTCAAAAATTCCAAAGATAGCAGTGGTAATCTTTTATTTAAAGGAAATGAAGTGGAGGCTCTTAGAAAAGAGTGAGAAGAGATTGCTAGAGAAATTGCACTAAAAACTATTAGAGAAACCCATGCAAAGTTCAGAAATGATGCCAAGAATCTAACTTGAAAACAGTTAGAAGATAGAAAATCTGAATTTAATCCTGACCAAATTAAGTTTTGGTTGCTTCCTGATAAAATCAAAGAAGAAGGTGAAGTTTCTGATGAAATGATTAACTTGTGAGATAAATGAAAAGTTATTACTGCTGATAAAAGAGTAGGTTTAGAAAGTATTCATGCTGAATTAGGAAAAAAAAGAAGTGAATTAACCAAAATTGGTTTTCAGAAAGCTGACAAAGAACAAAAATTGAATGACATTTTAGGCAAAATCAAAGCTCTTGAAACTGGAAGAATTGATCATTTAAGAGATCAACTTAAATTTTTAGGTGATAAATTAACTAATCCCAGTGATGCAAATATAATCTCTCATCAAGAAACAATTGCCATTAGAACTTTGATATATTTCTTAACTGATTTAGAAAAGGAGGGCAAATTAGAAACTCCACTGACTGATACTGAAAAAGGATATCTCACTAATACTAAAGTAGAACAATTAGAAGCTATAGCTACTCGAAATGCTAGTCTTCCTGTTTATAGCACTTGAAAAGCATTGGATAATAGTTTTCAAGAAAGACTAGACAATTGAGAAAAAAATGAAGAAAGAAACCTAACCTCAAAAAGCATTATAATTTATTTTGATTTACTAAAAAGTGAGTTAAATAATGCTCAACAAACTATTGGTCTTAGTCCGGAAGAAGCAACAGAATTATTAGTGATTGAAAATTATTTAACTGAACCAAAATTAAGAAGTAAAAACCTTTGTTCAGTTTTCAATATTGATGCGAATATCTCTACTTCTTAGTTAAGAAATATAAAAATTACAGTGATAAAAAGTTATTTAAAAAGGATGAACTAAAACTTAAAGAGATTGCCAATATTCTGCTCAATTTAGAAGATAAAAGCACTTTCTTTACTGAACTTAAAGAATATCTCAAAGATAAAAAAGGATTACCAGACTTCCCAGCTGACACCACTGATGATTATGAAAAGCAAGATTATTTCTTTACTTTGAATCCAGAACATGTAATTAAATTTTCTGCAACTTACCAAATTAAGCATGATGGTTTGCTCAAAGAACAAACTAAGCAAGCTATGGAAAAAGTTAAAAATGACCAAAATCAAGGCTTAGATAAAAAACTCTATGGA